AAGGATAACGAGGAATCTTTGATTGATAGCACTTTAAGTGTAAAGGATAGTGGCAATGCATCCAGTTTTTCCTTTGTTTTCTTCGCAATCACAGACTGTAAGTACCAACTGCTTCTCTGTAGATTAATAATTTAATTTTTAGAATTGCTTAGCAAAGTTATACAGGAGATTTTATTCAAGTCATTGTCTTCTGAACTCTTTCCAACCGCAAGCGATCTAGAAACCTTTCCTACCCTGTTACTATAGCAACAGAATAGAAGAGGTGCAGATTGTAAAGGTCAAGGAGACATAGGGTATCGGAGGGTTAGCTTGGAAGGTGAGTTTACACGTTTCGAGAGCTGTCCACAAGATTGTTATTAAAATAACTAAACTGTTACTGCACGTTTAGTGACTCGACTTTAACATTTCTAATAGAAGGAAGTCCAAATGCATTACTCAAATTTAAAGCTATTTATCATTGAAATAAAAATATTAAGCGACATATAGGAAAGATGTAACTTTAGTAAATGGTGTTTGTCTAGAAATCAAAAGATTATCGCTTTAAAACTGCAATAAAAGAGTAAGAATGGTCAATTTCATCCTTAAAAGTATAAGAATAGGCGCATAAATATTATAGATATTTGTTACATTTGTCAGAAATATATTATTACTAAGAACTGTAAAAATAAACATCTGATACTCTATAAATTCGTGAGTGATACTTTTCAAACTAGACATTCGATAACGTAAATGGAAACACTCCTAAAACCTGGAGTCAATATTTTATATCTCGATTTTAAAGAGAACCATTTTTATAAAGACCTGGATTATTAGTATCGAATTTTATTGTTAATTTTTACTTAACTTTCTTAAAATACAGTTTAAATTGTATGCATATAAATTATCAATTAATAGATAGAAAAAAGGTCAATTTCTTACATTAATTAAAAATAAAATGTATTACTACTTTTCTAACCAGCTTATAAATCAAATCCCATATTATTTTCCTATAAAACAAGATGGGTGTTTCTAGAGTCTTATAATTAATGAGAAAAAAAATAGAAAAAAAATCCTGATGAATAATTGATGGTGGTATTTTATTAAACTAGTTGATATTCAAAGTCTAAATTCATTAAATTAATGGATTTTAATGTATATATATATAAATAAAAAAAATACTAAATCGATCTTTACTTGGTTTTTCTCTAACGTAGAATAAAATACGAGTGCGTTACCATCTAAATATAGTTAAGAATTCCAGATATGTAATCAACACGTCTGTAATATGTTGCCACATACTACCTATATAATTGGGCGTAACATAGGATCGTTTATTCATGTTTTTTCTTTAGCTACGATCGAGAATTTTTATCATCTTTTTAAATTTTACAAGTGAAAAACTATCGGGAAAAAATTCTCTCTGATATTTTGGATAAATCAAGAAAACTTATGAAGTGGAATATGTATAGGTTGTCAAATTTCCTGTTTTGGTAACAAAATATCGATTTTAGCTATCAGTGTTTTTTTTTCTTGATTTATTTTTTTTCTCCGAGATCAAATTTTCTTCCAACTCCGATAAGAGTAATTTTATAAAAATATGATTTTGTTAGTTAAACATTTGCGCACTAGATGGCAGGATTTATGTATGAGTTGAGAGCTGGAATTTTGTACTGTTTTTATATTAAATGTAATACAAAATAAGTAATTGTCCGTAATAAATTATAGGAGCATTTTATATCAAAAATACATGTGAACATAAATCAATATGGTTAACAGAATTAACAAATAAATAAATAAATAAATAAAATGTAATTGTAATAATCTAAATTTCACTCTAGTCACCCCTAAATAATATTTTGTATTTTAAAAATTATATTAAAATTTCGAGTAAATTTAGAAAAATTAATGTCGAAATCCCATCCGTTACGCGTAATTTATGTTGGCATTTGAAATTTCTCTGAAGGCTTTTAAGTATTTATTTATGTAAATATTCGAAGTTAAAGTGAGTCGAGGCCTACAGTTATTTAACATCTTACATAACAAATCCATATTTACAAAACAAAAACAATAATTAATAAGTTTACTTAAAAATCACACTTTTATAGTTTTAATTAAATATTAATTTTGTCAATTTTAATTAAAATATTATTTTAATTTTGTAAAATGCTTTTTTATTTTAAAAAATTCTATTCTCAGATCGAAAATTTATACTTAAACTGAACTATCTATAGTTTGAGGCTTCATTCTACAAAGATTCCGCTTAATGCTCCACTCTAAAAAGATTCCGCTTAGGGCCTCACTCTACAAAGATTCAGCTTAGGGTCTCATTCTACAAAGATTCCGCTTAATGCTCCACTCTAAAAAGATTCAGCTTAGGGCCTCACTCTAAAAAGATTCCGCTTAGGGCCTCACTCTACAAAGATTCAGCTTAGGGCCTCATTCTTCAAAGATTCCGCTTAATGCTCCACTCTACAAAGATCCCGCTTAATGCTCCACTTTACAAAGATTCAGTTTAGGACCTTGTTTTTACAAACTTATACGAGACCCTTTATTTTTTATATACTACAGATTAAGACAAAATTCTAAATGTTGCCCTGCTTGAGATTTGCTTGAGGAATCTAACTGAAATCAAGATAGCGATCGGCGCACACAACAAGAATACAGAGTTCAAAGCACTCTAAAATGACTTAAATAATATTATTAAATTGAATAAATAGAAAATAAAATTTTTAAGAGCCACATTAACCATAACCGAATTTATGGATTTAAAATTAATTATAAGTATCACAAAAATTGAAAATATTTAGGCCGATCAATAAGCCTGTAATTCTATTTTTACTCTTGAAACAACTTATATTAAATCTGAAAAATTTTATCAAAATTGAATGTGAAAATTGATTCAATTTTAAGATATTGATAAAATTCATTTTTTACGCGTTTAATTTTATAAATTCTGTTGTTAGATTAATGAATTTTATAATGAAGTTAATACACTTGATTACATTCGTGTATTTAATATAATAGATTCTCATAATAAAGGACATTAATAATTTAAAAGAGCACGATTTATCTGTGATTATATAAATTTACCGACTAGTCTTACATCAAAGCGGATTTAAAATGTAGACTAATCCCAGAAGGAAGATGCCTACTGCATTTGTTAAATTTAAGAGAGGATTGAAGACATTTTTACAATTCCAGGAAAATTATCTCTATTCTCTAATGCTGTTTATATCAAAATAAATAAACTAGTAAAGAAATCTTTATTTTATTTTAAATATTTATAATGTAAATATTTTAAACAAGACCGTGTTTTATTATTCTGAATCATATACGTATTCAAGAGGAAAGAGAGGCCTCTTAACAAAAATAAAAAAAGAAAATAAAATAGAAAAAAGTACTTTTGTTTTGCTTATTTTATCTGAAATATATTTTTATATGTATTTAAATTTATGTACAAAAAATAAAAAAATATATTAGTAGAGCTACTCCTGATGCTCCCTTACTCTTACAATAAACTAAGTACGAATAAGTAATAATTAATCTTATCGAATAGGATCAATAAATAAAGGAATAATCTTTATTTTTGAGTTTAAATCTTTTATAATTAAAGTAGGTCTACGTGATATTTACAAAATATTATTTAATATTCTGTTTTAATTGGGCACTACAATGCATATTCTCGTTGAATTTGTAAGAAGAAAATATACTTTTTCTATTTTTGATTTTGTAAATTCAAAAATTTCTTATTGAAATTCATAAAATAAATTTCTTTTTTGTATTCGAAATTTTTTTAGTGTCGTGTCTGAACTTAAAAAAACTAAACTAAAAAGATAAGCACTCTTCCAATTTAACCTTTATAAAGCCAATAATGCTCTTTTCTTATTTGCTAACAAAAGAATTATCATCTTTTTTTTAATTTCGAAAATTTGCTTTTTTTTTTTCGTATAAAAATAGAAGAAAACTGTCACTTATTTACTCTTTATTGATTCCTTGCATGAAAACATAGCAAGGTGGAAGACAACGCCACACATACATACAAAACAGCTACACAATTCCACCTTGTGGATTATACTGTACATTTATATAATATATTTATATACGTGTGTATGTATAGAGGGCCTATATTTTATATTATTACACACATAAGGCTATACAAATGCATTACGTCGAATACATAGACGTAAAATAAACAAACATTTTACGGCACTATCTATTGTCTTGAGATACGCTAACAATACTATAGCAGCATCATTTGCATTAAACAATGCAATAATTCTCGAATAACAAAGCATATTTTTTATTTATTTTTATTTTGTTTTACTTCTTCAAACTAAACTATTGTCATTGTTGCTAACTGTTTTTAATATTCTGTTTAATTATACTTCTTCAAAATTATGGTTTATTAATTTATACAATCCTTCCTTTCTTCGATGTTAATTTTCATAATAATGTTTTCTTTCTTTTAAAATTTTGCCAATCAGAAAATTTTTTTATTATTAATTCTTTATAAAATATTGCATTTACTGTATTTTTCAAGCAAAAATATTGTCTTTTTTTTCGATTATTTATTATATAAATAATTTAAATCTGCACGTACATAAATATAGTTTAACTCTGTAAACCAGTTTTTTTTTATCTGCAAGAAGTAGAAAATGAGGATGGTAAATTGCTTTTGTTACAATATATATAGGCAATTATGTATATACCAACAAATATATATTCATATATATATATATATATTTAAAGCATGGCTTATGAAGTTTTCCATATTTCTGTTCATATTTTACGGCTTAATAATCTTGTACTTTTTTCCAGATCAATTTACATCTATATTAGATTTAAATATTTTGTACCAAGCATATTTATATGCTAACCCCACTATTCATCATCTAAGTTTGTCTATAAAGCTCAAAAATTGTGTACTTTACATCAAATATTGCACATATAGAGTTAGAAACAGCTTGAAATGAACTGCTCATGCTTCTAATCTTTCTGACTCTTTACTCTCCTTTTTTTTATTTAATTTTTTAAATTTTAAAAAGTACTAAACATCAATTTCGGTATATATGTATATATATATACTATATTTTTACGCGGTAATTTAATCGCTTCAAATATTTACATTCGTCTGTTTGGTTTACGACTTTTAAACTCTTAGATCGATCAACAGCAAATGTATATAGGCTAACTGCATTTGCAACGAAATTAATTTGCTTTTAACTAAGAAACTAATTAAGATAACAGGGATGTAAAATTCGAAACTTTAAATTAATAGCGTTGTTACAAGTTTATAACTCAAGAAACATGAATAAATTTAAAGCTTAATACATTAAAAAATATATATCTATTAATGTTAATATTTCTTACTTGATTTTCTTATACGTGTGTATTGAAAGCTCTTTACTTAGTTTAATCATTATTATTATTTTTTCATTATATAAATTAGATCTCAGCGTGTTGCTTTGTTTAAAGAATTTAGTAATTTTATATTTCTTATCTCTGAAATATATATATATATATATTTTTTTTTTAGTATTCTTTTAACAACGTACATCTCCTCGATAGCATTTTCTTCGCCTGATCAAAATGCTGCTAGAGCAACAACCTGAGTTAACCATTAAATCATTAAACCACCAATTAGAAGCCTTATCCATGGGACGGTCTATCTACATTTATAGGAAAAAATTTTCCTCATTTTCTACAGTTTACATTCCATGCTTGTCTGAGGACACTTATACATGACTAAAGATGGCAGCATCGACAGCATGGCACTATCTACAAATTTTGGCTAAACATCACGAACTATAGAAAGCTAAAGGAGAGGGTAAACTTTTTTTTTTTCGTTGTATATCTCTTCAATGGTGGGTAAGCATCCGGGGTAAACAAATTTCAACCATAGTAGGGATCAAAAAATGGGAATTTCTACGCCATCACTAGAAATGAGTTCTTCTATTTTTTCCCTCTTACTTTATATCCTTATTTAAGGTGATATGAATTCACGACAAGGATATTAACGAGGCAAAAATCATTACGAGAATTATTGTTAAACTGTTGGGTTGATTAGCAGGTGCTAAGTTGCAGTAGTCTGTCTGGCAGCTGCAATATTGGACGAAAACGTGGAATGTCCCCGCTCGCTTGATGCAATCAATTCCTTCTCGATCATCAGTCATCCATCCGCATCCTCTGATGTAGCGGTATTCGTCATTGACTAAAAAGATCATATTTTAAGTAAAATATTCCAAAAAAGATATAATTAGAATCTAGACACATCCATTAAAATCTAAATTTACTTTTATATTAAATATATTTTAAATTATGATTTTTTTTCAAAAAAAATCGATTCTGTCGATACGAGACATGAAAATTTCATAACGATGTTGAATTTACTGCAGTAATTTTATGCATTGTATTTTATTTTGTAAATTTATTGGAAGATAATTCTAACAAAAATATTTTCTGAATAAAACATTTTATTATTATTAACTCGTATATTTTAAAGAATTTTTAAATTTCTTGGCTGTTATTCTAGAATGTCATAAGATTAAGGCATTGTTTCTTTGAGATTGTTGGCAAAGTATACGGATTTATTTGCAATTTTTTCCTACATGTTTTACTTAAACGTTTGTTTACAGAATTTTTTCAACTTTTGAAGCATGCTAATCTCTCTTTTATACATTTTTCTTTTATCTCTTCGAGACTTTTGCCTATAACTTTCGTTTTATTGTACGTATCAAAGTAAAACTTAGAGCTATACACAAACAATTTTTAAAGCCATAAAACTATTTTTTTAAATTATAAAATTAAAAAAATATATATCTCTAGAATTTATTAACTATACTAAAAATTTTCTAATATTTTTAGATTTATACATGACGTATGTAGGTTATTGTTATTTCTTGTAGAAATCAATATTTTATAAATGGAAAGGGTTTAAAGAATGCAACAAATTTCAAGATAATTATAGAAAAATAGTAATTGTTATTACCTTTCTGAATAATTTTTCGACAGATTGTGGCAGGTGTGTTAGGATAATGAGGCAGGAAACGCGAATTACAATCAATAGAAGATAAAGTACGATTATTAAATGGATCAGCACAGTGTGCATCGTAATGAGAGTTGCATTCCCAACAAACGATGCCGTTACCTGTTAAGAAAAAACATTTTAAAAAATTCAATATTATATTATAAAACTAACATTAACTTATTATTATAATGATAATGACACGTGTTCATTGCATTACTAGGCCATTTTCTTTTAGTAAACTTTTCAAGATGTTTAAATCATTAATCGATAACAATCTCATTAAATTTAGATAAACATTTAAAAAAAAAATTAACCATAAACTATTTATAATTGGTAATTATAAATAAATTGTCTGTAGTTTTAAGTTGGGAAAATCTACAACGACATTGATTATCTCAAATGATAAGTGATTAATCATAATTATTGTTAGAGTGAAAGTTGGCTATTCGTCATTAATCATAAGTATCTATTTGATTTATTGTTATTAATTATGCTAGACTTACGAATAACTAAGGAATGTTTTCATTTTTATACAGTTTTAGTAATAAAATTGTTTATAGCTAACTCTTAAGAAGTATGTTATCTGGTAATTAACTGATGGACTGATTCGGAGATTTCTCACTTAAGGAACAAATTAAGAAAAGCTAAGTCAAAATCAATAATAAAGATCCAGGAACTGGCTCTCGAAATATAAAACAAAAGAAGAAGAAGAAGAAAGAGGAGGAGGAGGAACGTCGTAAATAAGAAATAAAGATTACATCAAAACTATTTTCTATGATGATGAGTTTGAACTAGAAAAAACAAAAAAACTACAGGAAAATTCAATATTATCTGATGTTTAAATAGATAATTATAAGATGATAAATTTTATGTAAAAGTATTCTAACAAATTTTTCACACGATTATATATTAACATACATAATTAAAATGATTTTCGTCACTGTTGCTAGTTTACTAACGATAGAGAAGAGAATCATTTATTATTAAAATATTTAATGAAGAGATTATTTTCGAATAAAAGTTAATTCCGGAATTAATCACTCTATGGGAAAATGCCAAATATCTAAATAATGTATGATATCTAAATTTAATATTTATTTTTATTGTAATTCTTTATGTTTAAAGTTTACAATCTTTTGTAATTAAATATACACAGAGTTATTGCAGAATATTATAGATGTTATATCTATATATTTTTATCTAGAGTTCTAGAAATGATGCCAATTACAGAGAGCTGCAATCACCTTGCTATTGTTTGATTTTAATGCATAAATAGAGGTAAATGGCGATTTTTTCAGTTTGTGTGGTTTGTAAAAAGTATGTAATACTGATAAACTATGCCAATGAAGTATGTAATTTCATATTCTTTATTAAATTGTGTACTACTTAAATCAAATATTTTGTCTATAAAATTAGTCTATTAATCCTAATATAACTTACAAGTTTTTCTTTTAATTATATATATAATGTATTTATGTTTGTAATAAAGGAGCATCAAATGCCTGCATGAAATTTTTCGTCACAATTCTCTCAATTTTAGTAACGTCTTGCCCCTGTACATCATACTTTTACTGTTAACAATGGTCGTCTATCTAACATCGTTCTCGAAATTAAGAAAGAACAGACATACAAACAGACAGACAGATTTAATGTTGTCTATCATTATTATCAGATACAGCATTTTATTTTTTATAATCAATGATATTATTTGTTGAAAAATAATATGTAATAATAATTTTCATTGGTTAATAAGCTATAATTTTCTCAACAATTTCTTCTATAAAACTAATAATAAAATGAATTGCTACTAATTAATCAAAGTAATAAATATGAAATTATTAAAATAAATTACTTTCAAAATTACATAACAGGAAACATTCATTTTTATTGCTGTTATTTTAATGATTATTGACAAATGAGATAATTAATTTTTATTTGCTTTGATAACGTTTGTATTATGTGTAAAAATTATCTTTAAAAAATCCATCCAATTAATAATAATAGTGTCTAAACCGTAATTTGCATATTTCTAGACATTGAAAACACTAAAAAATTATTTAAAAATAGAAGGTTATATTGTGAATAAACGACGTATTATGGAATAACTGCGATTTCCTCATTTATACAGTAGATTAACTGAGGAAATCGCTAAAATTATAACTTCCTCAGTTACCTCAAACATTTAGCAGAAGAATTCTCTGGACCTGGAATTAGAAACGTCGTGATTGTACGTTATGCCAATAGAGTAAAGTTAACTCGGATCCGTCTTTCACTTTAAAAATATCAATAAACTTTTGTAAAGATAAAAAGTTCTTGATAAATAAATTCTACAGTATCCATTATGTATACTGTTTATGAGATTGACAATTAAATCAGTGGGCAATAAATTATTTTATTAAAGAATTACGATTCTAAGCTTCTGGAATTTTTGGAAACAACCTGACGATTTGCAGTTTGTTTTCTTATTGCATCTTGGATGTGCTCAACAGAATGGAGTGGAACGAAGATCAGCAAGATCTTAGATTTAATCGGTTTTATTTATTGTATATTTTCTTCACGAAAAAGTCGTTTATCGGTTGTATGAACGTAACTATTAGTAACGCCTGAAAATACTGGGTTTATGCGTTTTCGTTCATAACTATAAAATTTATGCCGCTAGCACTGGAGAAATTTAACAGAAGTTGTATAATCTCATCTCTTTCTTACTAACAATTTAAGATAGTTCCATCAAAAGTGTGATATTCAGTGCGGCAATTTAACACAATTCTTCCTGCACTAGTGTATCTGCACTGATATTTTTTTTCTGGTATAAAGTCGATTCTATTGAGTCCCATATTCTTTTCAAAAGATGGTGAGACGAGACAGACACGCAAGCAAGATTTTTAAAGGGGTGAAGTTTAATAAAAACCACATTATTTTCGTAATAGCAGTGACTCCCCGCCAAGTAAAAAAGTCACTGACTGACTATATATACAGGTATCAGAGTTGCCGACTTTCGGGGTCTATTTCTCCACTCCCCAAACACCTGAAGTAATTCAGAATATCTCGTTTGAAAGAAAATTATTTTCTTAGATAGTGTGCAAAATTTCAAGATTTTCTATAAAGCGGTTGCCGAAATATAAGCAGTTGAAAAATGCAAAAATCGCCCAAAAAACTGTATTTTCTTCTTCTTTCCTTCATCCGGCACTGAAGACGAAAACTACTGAGTCTAGAAAGCTCAAATTTTAAACTTAAGCCTTTCTCGCTAACAGTGAGATGCTGGCCAAACTTCCGGGTCTATAGGTCAAAGTTTACGGGGAGTTTCCCCATTGATCTAATTCAGTTTTATGGCTTAAATTTATGCTTATAACGATAAAATTGCATAGAAATAAATTAATTTCATTCAAAACGTTATTCAGAGTAACAAAAGCTCAAATTTATGCAATTAAAACTTATTTTTATAACGATTTTTCTAAACGGCGTATTTTTGTTTGGATTTAAGTTTTACAATATAGATACAGTCGACCCCCTATAAGATCATTGATTTTTTCGTTTTATCTGAATTACATGTTGTACGAGTCACTTAGATTTTACAAATATGTGAGCCATTCACAGTCCAGCACACGTATTTGTAAAATCTAAGTGACTCGTACAACATGTAATTCAGATAAAACGGAAAAATCAATGATCTTATAGGGGGGTCGACTGTAGATAGAACTTAATACAATAGACTAAGATGAATTAAACGGATATAAAACATAATACATTATACTATTTTATTAAATTCCTTTCAATTAAATAAATATATCGCTAATCTGAATATATTTAAACAAAAATTAATCAAGTTTCATTCTACTTAATAGATTTACAAAGTTAACATGAAACTAGTTTAATGGATTTGACTTAAATTAACGTTAATTTTCTTCAATAATCAAACTTAGATTGAGTTTAATTCGATTTAAATTAAACTAAGAGCAACTTGAATCGATGTTTATTTAGTACACGATATGCAAAAGGATTATTAAATGTTAAGTAATATTACATTATTTAAACACTCGAAAGATAGTTTTTTTTAATGCAAATTATAAACTCTTCAGTATGTTTGTTGTATAGTCTACTGAATTGTATTATCATACATCCCAGAAGACTTGAAGAGAAGCAGCTAATCTTATACATATATATATATATATATTATACATTTTCACTTAAGTGTAGACTTGTGTAAAACCCTTTTTCATCAACAGATGTTCAGATCAACAATTTTTTCCATTAAAGAATAAAATATCTTATCTCAAGTATAAGATACACTCGAGATAAGACATCACACAATAAGGGAATTATATGAAACGTGATGAGATTGTCAATTAGTGTGTGACGAAAAAACTATACTGTAGTATATTTTTTGCATATCTTAAAACTGAAAGCCTAAACTAATAAGTGGAAATGAACACAGCGTTAACTGTGAATAAATTAATTATTTTATAAATAAACTCGATAATTATTCAACACAAAGAATGTTAATTTTAATAAATTAAATATTTACAAGAGGAGTAAAACAAAAAAAAAAATCAAATTTACGCGTAAGTAAATCTATGAATATTGATTAAATTTAAAAAAATACGTAAAATATAAAGAATTAATTAAACGAAACAATTAATTTTAATGCTATTTTTAACTGGTGTAAATAATTAAATTATAATTAACAGTTTTAATTATAAAGCAAATTACCATTTTTCTTGGGGGGAAAAAAGTATTTCATAATTTAATTTTGTCATTTCTCATTGTTCAATTTTTAATTTAGAAATTGTTCTATATTTTGCTTACGTCATCTAATCATAAGTTTCAACGACAAACTGTCATTTATGCCACGAACAATAGGAAACTAGAGAAACGCCCCAAAAATAGATTAAGCTAAAATAGCAACGGTTAAACGAAGTGGTAGTAAATTTTACTAAAATATTCATACATGTCTGAGATCTTCATGTGAAAGATGAAGCTGATAAATTAAAGATATCACTGATGAAAATAACCAGTGAATATATCTAGCTTTAATAGTTTATATTAAAAAAAAAAATGATTAGGTGAACATATCAAGATGAAAGGTATCATATTACTGAAAGTCATTATAAGGATTAAGTAAT